GGGTTAAATTTCTAAGAAAAAGAGATTCATCCACAACTTCAGAAAAACTGTGCTCTACAACATCTGATCTCTCACTCTCAGACACAACATCAGAAACTGGAGTTTCCGTGGCCATAGCAGGCTCTATCAATTGGTTTACAGAGCACATTTTATGAGTCCGTGATACATGTGATGCGAATGTAGATCTCACCTTAAATGTCCTGTTGCAACCAAATGGGCACCGGATCTCCAGACCTGACTGAATGTGGCTCTTCAAATGAGACAAAAACTGTGTTAGGGTCCCACATTGAACTTCACAAAAGTCTACATGGCATTTAAATGTTTTATCACACATCTGTGCCTGAATCTCTTTAGCAGACGTGTGATGTTCTTTGTGATGTCTGTATATGTGGGACTTCAATGAAGAAAACTTTGTGAAAACATGTGGGCAATCAGGCACACCACATCTAAATTGTGAATTAGGCACATTTCTATGCAATTTCACATGCTGCACAAAATGTAGGATTGTGCAGCTCTCATTATTACAGAATTTACAGATAAACATCTTCAACTGAAATAATAAAAAAAAAATGCTAATAACGTTACATACACAGAAGTAAAGCATGTGCACAGTAATTTCCAATGTACTTTGTAATGAACAACTAAAGTACTAATTTGACTACATACACCCTTATAAGTACAAAACTAAAACTTAAAAAAAACAGCATCTTCATCGAAACAAACACGTGCTAATTAGTTAATAGCTTGACAGTCCAGTTAAACACTAATGTTGCCGAGTTGCATAAAACCTACATAACTTAATTTTATTAATGTAATTGCAATGTTTTAAAGTCAACGTGTGTTTTTTTTTTTTTAAAGCAAACAGTTTTAAACTAATAGATGTGTACATTATATAATCATATGTCAGAGTCAACATGGTGTAAATATTTTGTTTAAAAGGCTGTATTTATTACAGTTGACTAAGTTCCAAAACTGGATTTCAACACTAGAAAAAAAAAAAGAATATGTATGATATCCTGTAGCATTATTGTATAATCATGTTCCCAGAATCTATAGGAAAATACATTCTTCCTTAAAAAACAAGGACACTATATTATGGTAGATACTACTGTAATTTTACAGCATGTTCCTTGTAATGCTGTAAATTTCAAAATACATTAGTCTATTGTAAATATTTACTGTAAAAATTACAGCAATTTTATACAGTGTAGTGTATCACCAATAATAATGCAGGTAATATTGACAGTTAAACACAAGAAGACGTTTTATTGCCGCCTGCCTCTCACACTCACAACGTATTCACATTGCCCACTGCTGTCATTGTTTACACACCAGGTTTCATTTCATGCATATCATCTGTCATTCTACATGTATGGGTATTCATTCATATACAGGTCCTTCTCAAAAAATTAGCATATTGTGATAAAGTTCATTATTTTCTGTAATTGACTGATAAACATTAGACTTTCATATAT